GGGGAGAGCGGAGAGCCCCAGCCGCCGGGGAAAGCGGAGAGCCGCGGCGGGCTCGCCGCCCTCCCCCCGGTGCTCCGACCAGTCGGGGAGAGCGGAGAGCCCCGGCCGGTCGGGGAGAGCGGAGAGCCCCGGCCGGGTTCGCCGCCCTCCCCCCGGCGCTCCAGCCGGTCGGGGAGAGCGGAGAGCCCCGGCCGGGCTCGCCGCCCTCCCCCTCGGCGCTCCGGCCGGTCGGGGATTGCAGGCCCAGGGCCGGGCTCGCCGCCCTCCCCTGCTGCGCTGGGGGGGTGGAGAGGGCGGGGGACTTTTTTTGCCTAGTCCAAAACTATTCCCTTAATTGTACTACTTAGGTAGGCCCAGTTCTGTCACCCTTGTTCAAACCAAGTGGTACCTCATTCCTTGAGTACTTTCACTGAGATTGGTGGAAATACTGGTAGACTAGTAAATTACCACTCAGCATGAGTAAGAATGGCAGAAGTTTGCTGTGCATTCCACGAGTTCAGTATGCAGGCAAAAGGACACGCTTCGTGAAAATTAACTGCTTTCTTACTACAGTTTTGCATCTTTGTCTAGTGAGGACACTGCTGAGGAGCACAGGCAGTTTGATTATTTGTTACTTACCCAAGGCCAAACTATAACAGCCTTTAACATAAGCGGTCCTATTAATGTCAACTACACCTCTACACTGATATAACGCTGTCCTCGGGAGCCAAAAAATCTTACTGTGTTATAGGTGAAACGTTATATCGAACTTGCTTTGATCCGTAGGGGGTGTGCAACCATGCCCCCCCCAGAGCACTGCTTTACTGTGTTATATCCAAATTCATGTTATATCGGGTCACGTTATATCGGGGTAGAGGTGTATGTGTGTGAATAAGACAATCACAATACAGTCCTGGTCCTTATAGCTTGTTGGATCCATTTAAGAAATTTGTGCCTCTAACACACATGCTTTCATTTGATGACATTTTGATACTTAAAAACTAGCATGGGCTGTTCACATCTGACAAGTGCTACTATATCTAACTCAATATCTATGCCACATACTTGTAAATCTGCTAATTTAAAAATGTCAGTCTCATTATTTGAATTTGAGTCTGATCTTCATTCCACTTACCTACAGAATGCACTAAAAATGATGGCTAAAACTGTGTCTCTTAAATTCAATAGTACAATTACTTTAACAGTAATATTAAAATCATATCAAATATAAAAAGTACACTGTCAATTTATGTGCAGCATGAAATTTAAATATTGTGAATTCAATTTTTTCAAACCAATATATATATATCTATATCTGGGTCAGCAACCTTTCAGAAGTGGTGTGCCGAATCTTCATTTATTCACTCTAATTTAAGGTTTCGCGTGCCAGTCATGCATTTTAACATTTTTATAAGGTCTCTCTAAGTCTACATTATATAACTAAACTACTGTTGTATGTAAAGTAAATAAGGTTTTTAAAACGTTTAAGAAGCTTCGTTTAAAATTAAATTAAAATTCAGAGCCCCCCAGACCAGTGGCCAGTACCCGGGCAGTGTGAGTGCCACTGAAAATCAGCTCGCATGCCGCGTGCCATAGGTTGCCTACCCCTGATCTATATCTATATATTTCCACTTCTAAACAAAGTCCTCTTGAACAACTGTTTTAAGACAAATAAACCCTCCTCTCAGATGTCTGAAATCTCAAGAGCAAAGACCCTAAAAGTGAAACTTACTAAAACACAAACAAAACTGACCTCATAGATTCTTTTTATTGTCCAAGCTGAGAAAACTGCCGAAAATAAACAAATCCCATAAACATGAGGAGTCTTATCATTTCTTCACTTTAGTAACAGGTTGTTGTTAGTAACATATGTAAGAAAACTCTATAACCACCACCCTTTGACAGCTGAAAATTATTTTTAAAGGATCACTTTGTCATCACCCTGTCCATTTGTATCCTAAGCTGGGTAGTGCAACATGAATGATTAAAAAAATAGCGCTGGCCTGTTCCTTTTTCTAATCCTTTTACAACTACAACAGCTTTTCATTCACCTTCTCACCTTTGATGCTTTAGGGCATAGGCGGGTCTAAGCGTTATATACTGTGCTCCCAGATCCGCTGTACAGCGAGGGTTATGTGGGCTCCTGCTTGTAGTCATTCTTCCTCCTGGGAACACGGAGATGAGACTAAAAGACGGCCAGGCTCTCCCTCATATACTGTCCCCGGGCAAAGTTAGCGCCTAACATGTGGGGGTTACAAAAATGACTTTCCATCGGGATGTTTGTTTGCCTGGTTCTGGCGCCCGAGGGCGGTCAGCGCCTCGGTTCTCGAGTCCTCCAGGCGAAGCCCGCAGAGCCCTCGGCTGGCCTCCTTCCTGCACAGCTGTTCGCTCTCGCTCCGGCACATGCTGGCGCCCCAGCCCCGCTCACTAGGCCGGGGAGGAGAAACCCTCTATTCGCTCCTGTGGTCAGGCCCTGCTGGCAGCGTTGCTCCCCGTCACGTCCGGAAGGCTGTGCTGTGCAGTGTCTCCGTGGGGCACTGCCCACGTCCCCCCCTACGGCATGCAAACACCCGGGTCGTGCGCTTACCCGGGCTGATGCCTGGCTCCGAGCTGGGGTGCCATCCCCTCCCCAGACCCCGTGCTTGTGCGCCCGTGCCCGGGGCTGACCCCTGCTGCCCGCGCTCCCCGGCCGGTCCCCGTGCGTGGGCCGGGGCGGGGGGTGTTGTAAGTCCCGGCAGAGGTCGCTGTGCCCGCGGCAGGGCCTCACCTGCTCCTCGCGCTTTGTCCCACAGCACGATGCGCAGCGGGCGCTGGGGCAGCTCTCTCCGCAGCAGCGCAGCGCACAGGCTGCCGGTCGGCCCGGCGCCCACGATCAGCACCCGCGCCATGGCGGCGGTGATTGGCCTACACGAAAGAACACGGAGCTGTGACTAGGAGACCGGCTCTCCCACAGAGCCTGTCCCCGGACACCGTCAGTGAGCCTGCGCTCGGGCGGCGGCCCCGGGCTCCTCCCGCTGCTGCTGCGGGCCCAACCAGCGCCTTGCCCGGCGGAGCCTGCCCCAGCCCCGCTCGCCTGCAGGGGGAGCAGCCGGGCCTCTGGCCCGCAGTGACAGCCCGGCACCGGGCGCCCCCTGTCGGAGCCGGCCCCCAGAGCGCCGCGCAGTAGCGCCGCCTCTCCCGGCTGCCGGGGCTCAGGTGGGGGACGAGCTTTCACAATGGGGGGTTGCTTTGTATCCATGACAGAGCTCTGTCTGTCACGTGCGCACACGAGAGACAGGGGCACGCACAAATCACATATGTCTCCCGCACGAGGCCGTACATAAACAAATCCCTTCCCAGCACGATCCGTACACACGCCACATACATATCTTCCTCCCCCGGCTCCACTCCCTGTACAGGAGTCAAACGACAGCTCAGGTAAATGCCGAATCCTGCAAGTGATTCTGCACGAAGAAACTCCCCATGCAGGGATGGGTCCAACCATGTGGGGTCACTTGCAGGACTGGGATCTAACTGGGTACTCCCAACAGCAATCTATAATTTTCAACATTTAAATGAAATTCAGAATTTAGAGCAACAAAAGTTCAGATATTTAATTTCTTCCTTAATAGGCCACCAATAATTATTATACTAAAATTCTTTTGAATTGCATAAACTCAGGAAAGTACTGTCTCCATTTATATATACATTTCAATGAACCCTTTTAATTGCCTTAAAATATTTCTCCTCAAATTAATTTCTATACTATTAAAATGATGTTAAAATGTTGTTAAAGTCGAATGATTAAGCACAGTAATGTTAGGAAATGCAAGTGTACTATAGAATATCATACAATTGTTTCATACAACCTTGTAAGTCACATCTTGTGACATATAGTGAGGCCTTAGTCTGGCAAAGCACTTCAGCAAGTGTTTAACCTTTAGTGTACATAGAGTCTAATTGATTTCAGTGGAACTAATCACATGATTGAGATTATGCACATGCTGAAATGCTTTGCTGGATTGGGGCCTGATCAAAATGGGGTTAACTGTGTTTACTTGAGTGCTTAACTGTGCAACCTTAAATGTTGTTATATATAAAAAAATAAATTAGAAAAAAGTCAAAAGTCAGACCTCATGAGAGCATCCAGTCTCATACGTCTTACTAGGGGAGCTTGTCTGAATATTTGTGCACTGCAAGGTACACACAGGCTGCTTGATATGCCTGACAAGATATGCCACAAATGAGGTGGGCTGCTATGAGCTCCGCCTCATTCAATACACAACAGATGGAAATTTGTATCTTGCACACAATATTTACTTGATCCTGGACAGATGAATTTTTTTTCTTAGGCATGTAGAATAACTTTCCATTTTATTATGATCAATCCTTTATATTAGAGACATGTAAGTAAATATCCGTATCTGTTTTGCAAGGCTGAATTCTTAAAAGATGAACAGGGATGAGGCAGGGCTTGACGAACAGCATAAAAGAAGCACTGAGAGTAAGTCCTACAACACAGCCAATCTTTGCTTTCAGCACTGCAGCTATACATAAATAATCCTACAGATTGAACTGCAGATTTACAATGTACACTGTTCCATCACATATAACTCAGGCAAATCAAAACCAGTTTTCACCAGAGCATTTGAAGGTCCTTTTCCTCAACAAGGACCCTTTCCCAGCCAAATTTCAACTTCTTACCCCCACTGCTAAAACTGTGTAAATTTTTAATTAAAATTCTATTTGAATTAGTAACATCAAGCGCAACATTATTCTTTCTCATGCTGTTTCCATTTATAATACTTGTCATTTGTATATTATGTGTACTTATTATTATGTCATCTGATTGTGCTGTATACAGTACATTGGTAAGTAATGTTATTTAGCCTACAAATATTAAATGAAGACTTATTGTAATTACAGTCTTATGCAATCTGACATGGCTTCTTAGGATATGATATATTGAATTGTATCTTCATGAGTGTTACGTGCCAAGCTTCCCTTCAAGAAGTCCAATATAAAGATCATTATTTAGGGATTCCTCAGAACCACTGTAAGCCTCATGGATTTAAGAGGTTGTAGTTGCCTTTATTAGCTTAACCTAACACTCTCTATACCAGGGGTGGCCAAACTTTTTGGCCCGAGGGCCACATCTGGGTGGGGAAATTGCATGCAGGGCCATGAATGTAGGGCTGGGGCAGGAGGTTGGGGTGCGGTGTGCAGGAAGGGGCTCAGTGCAAGGAGTTGGGGTGCGGGGTGTGGCAGGGGGCTCAGGGCAGGGGGTTGGGTGCAGGCAGGGTTCGGCAAGGGGGTCAGATCAGGGAGTTGGGGTTTAGGAGGGGTGCAGGCTCCGGCCCAGCACTGCTTACCCGGAGTGGCTTCAGAGTGGCAGCAGCGCCCACCAGGCCCAGGTCAGGCTCCCTGCCAGCCATGGCTCTGTGCCGCTTCCGGAAGTGGCCGTGTGACGGTGCTGCCCGTAGGAGCCAGCTGAGGTCACTCAATTAGGTTGAACTGCAAACAGAACGGGGCAGACAAACCCCAAAAGCTGGTGGATATTCCAATACTTAGATTTACCAAGCCAGCACAAAACAACTTCTATAGTACCTCACTGGTTACTTAGAAGTCCAAACAACGCAGTTCCCTTAAAGTACCCAGCCTCAGGCCTCCATCCAGACACACCTGTCAGATATGATGATGATTGATTGAAAATCTTATCTCATCATATAAAATAAAAGGTTCTTCCAATCCCAAAGGATCAGCCACATACCCAGGTTTAATTATAACTTAGATTTTACCCAAAATACACGCTTATAGCCAATTTTTATTAACTAAACTAAAATTTATTAAAAAAAGAAAAGAGAGAGAATGTTGGTTAAAAGATCAATAGACATACAGACTTGAATTCAATTATTGAGGTTCAGATGCATAGCAGAGGTGAGCTTGTAGTTGCCAAAAGTCCTTTTAGAAATAGTCCATAGGTTATAGTCCAATGTCCATATTCAGGGTGGCTCCAGTCAATGACTGGGGATCTCAATCCTTGTGGCTTAAGGTTCCCCCCTCTTGAAACCCAAAGCAGATCTGAGATGAAGTAGGATCATGTTTTAGGGTTCTTATACATTTCAAGCAGCCTTTCGGCCTGAGAAAACAATAGGTCTAACTCTCCTTCTTCCAAACAGCCTGGCAATTAGCACAGGGTAACTTATCCATTAAACAGTTCAGATACAGGTTACCACAACCTTCAAAGAGACATATAGACTAATACTATTTCACTTAAGTGTCATTATAAATGTTAATATTCCTTTTTTGATCTTTGAATTAAAACTATAGCAATAGACAAGACTTGTTTGCTTACATCACAAGCCCTGAGCAAACATCTACCCTTTTACCTCTAACAATGCAGACTTACATTTCAAAGCTCTATTCATTTACATATCTTCCTAACCAGTTTCTACAATTCAGCCATAGGTCAGGTCAGTCTGTGAGTTAATTAACTATTTCTGGCCCTGTCACCTTTCAATGAGATATTATATTATACTCGTAACGTCACAGGCCGGCACCACGTCCCTGCGGCCCCGGGGGGTAGGGCGTGGAGCTGAAGGTTCCACGTGCTGCCCCCACCTGTGGGTACCTCCCCCGAAGCTCCCATTGGCCGCGGTTTCACGTTCCCGGCCAATGTGAGCTGCGGGGGGCGGTGCCTGCAGGCGAGGGCAGTACGTGGAGTCCTCTTGCCCTCCCCCCCCCCCCTTTCCCCAGGGGCCACAGGGACATGGTGCCGGCCGCTTCTGGGAGCGGCATGGGGCCCGCGGTACCATGGGGGTGGCAATCCCGCAGGCCGGATCCAAAGCCCTGATGGACAGGATCCGGCCCGTGGGCCGTAGTTTGCCCTTCCCTGCTCTATAGGAATAAGAGGGATTACTAAAGAGGACTAAATATAAACACTGAAGTATGCAGAAAGCCTTCCCCTGACTACAACAGGCTATGCAGTATTCTATATACATACGTGCAGCTAGTTTTGGTACAGAGGTCTGAATTTGATATCAGATACATGACCACAGACTCCCCAATTACCACAAAACTCATGCTGCTATCTGACCAGACCCATCTAGGTTAATAATAATCTTGCGGTGTCTTCCATTCAATTTTGTTATACAAGTAAAATCAGGGGCCTCATTCATGGATAGTAGTGACTTTATTATCCACTGAATTTGCTGTTAACAGCGTATAACAGAGAACTGGGTTTCTGCCAGTCAAGACAAGGCTCCCTAATGATGGTGAGACCGGAGTGACTGATGTTGAACACTGTGAATCTAGTCTCTGCATTCTATCTCATCTACACCTGCTCACTGTGCCGGGGTGAAGGGGCCCAGTTTAAGCTCCATTAATTTTGCACAATGATGTAACTTGCACACTAGTATCCTAACCACTGTGTACTCACTACTGTTCCTGACAATTATCTCCACTAATGTATCATCATATGAGTGCTTCAGATTGTGCCTCAGCCATGTTTTAGATGCCCTCCTTTTAGTGTTAGCAGGCAATAGCTATGTTTTTAAATATCAATTAGCAGTGTGCACACCTTTAAAACATGCTGGTTAATCATGGTCAACTCTAGGTCCCCCACCTGCGTGTAGACAGGACCAAAAATGAGAATGTATAGCTATTTGCAACAGCAAAATGATATTATTTATTACAAACTGTAACCACTGAAATATCCAGGTGTGCACAATTTACAATACACTCTTGCTTCAGAATGCTTGAACAGTCGACAACATAACCCCTACAGTAAATGCCCCAGTCACAGTGATGGGTGCTATCAGTGCATGCAATGGTTGGGGATCTGCTCTCCTATTCACTTCTGAAAAAAAAATGGTGAAAGCATGTAGTGCATTCTGCCTTTCTCTCTCTCCTTTATAGCCATCTGAGCCATCATGTTTCAGGCTTATTCCATTTTGATAACACTCACAATGTAATTTGTAGTTTTCTACATGGCTGAGCTAACATCTAAATGACAGCAAAGGTCTGAATAATCCCCCCAAAAACATTAAT